TTGGTAAGAACAGCAGCTCTGCTAGACATGCTCGCCGCTAAATATCCCCAAAGACTTTCACCCGACCGAGCCATGGATCCTTACGACTTTATACAGCGGTATGCACAGCTGGTCCTCCCCGCTACAGGCAAAGTGCTGACAGAGGCAGGACACGTCCACATCTGGTCGTATATATCACAATCGATTGTCAAAACCTTCGAGCTTACCGACGTACCCGTACGCGCTGGTCGCTTCATTGCGAGGAAGAACTGGATAGTCGCTGGTAAAGCCCAAGCAAACCGAAACTATTGGAAAAGAAGTTGACATGCACATTCAGGTTCCGATGACTTCCAGTTGCGCGTCTACAACTACAACACCTCCGAGAAGGTCACATCTTTCGAGGCACACCCCGATTACATCCGCGCAATCGCTGTCCACCCAACACAACCTTTCGTCCTTACCGCCAGTGTGGGTAACAAGTCTGAACAACGCAGAAGCGAAGCTGATGTGGCTTTAGGATGACATGACTATAAAGCTTTGGGACTGGGACAAGTCGTGGAAGTGTATGTGGAGTGGTCATACCAAAAGACATGGCATATGCTAACAGATAGCAGGCGTACAAGAGTTCGCTGGCCACCAACACTACGTTATGGGCATCGCGATAAATCCCAAAGACCCCAACACATTCGCCTCCGCGTGTCTCGACCGTACCGTCAAGATATGGTCCCTCGGCAGCTCTACTCCCAACTTTACGCTCGAGGCGCACGAGACCAAGGGTGTTAACTTCATTGACTACTACCCCCAGTCGGACAAGCCATATCTCCTTACAACCTCCGATGATCGGACAGTCAAGGTTTGGGACTACACAACAAAAGCGCTGATTGCGACACTCGAAGGTCATACTTCTAACGTCAGTTTCGCTGTATACCACCCCGAGCTCCCCGTCATCATCTCTGGATCGGAAGACGGCACAATCAAAATCTGGCACTCGTCGACCTACCGGTTGGAACAATCCTTGAACTATGGGTTGGAGCGCGCATGGTGTGTATCGTACCAAAAGGGAAGAAATGGCGTGGCACTGGGATTCGACGACGGAGCTGTTGTCATCACCATGGGACGTGAAGAGCCAGCTGTCAGCATGGACGGTAGCGGAAAGTTACTCTGGGCGAAGAACAACGACATCCTCACTTCGGTGATCAAAGGCAGCGACCAGCTCAAGGATGCAGAGAGACTCTCGCTCCCTAGTAAGGATCTTGGTTCAACCGAGCTGTACCCACAGTCATTGCTGCACTCGCCCAACGGACGTTTCGTAGCAGTTTGTGGTGATGGTGAATACATCATCTACACTGCGCTTGCTCTTCGTAACCAAGCTTTCGGCAGCGCTCTCGACTTCTGCTGGGCCTCGAAAGAACACGACAAGGACTACGCCATCCGGGAATCCTCTACCAGCGTCAAGATCTTCCGCAACTTCAAGGAGCGGAGTGTACTGAATGTTGGCTTCTCGGCTGACGGCTTGAGTGGCGGCGTGCTTCTGGGTGTGAAGGGTCAAGGCGGTATCGGCCTATTCGACTGGGACTCTGGCGCCTTGGTTCGACGGATAGAGGTCGAGCCCAAGAGCGTCTACTGGTCTGAGAGCGGGGAACTCGTGACGCTTGCCACGGAAGACACATTCTATGTCCTTCGCTACTCTAGGGAAAACTACCTGGAAGCCGTGCAAAACGGTGAAGTGGACGAGGACGGTGCCGAGTCTGCATTCGAAGTTGTGTGCGACATCAACGAGAGGTACGTTGTAAGAAGCCATTACTGAATCCACAAGCTAATGACAAACAGCGTTCGTACCGGTACCTGGGTTGGAGATTGCTTCATCTACACAAACAGCACAAATCGCCTGAACTACCTTGTCGGCGATCAAACGTACACCATTTCCCACTTCGACTCGCCTCACTACGTCCTTGGATATCTACCTCGTGATTCCAGAATCTATGTCGCTGATAAGGATGTCAATGTGGTCTCCTTCGCGCTGTCTCTGGCTGTCGTTGAGTACCAGACACTTATCCTCCGAGGTGATTTTGAAGCCGCCGAGGAGACCCTTCCCTCTGTGCCCAAGGATCAGAATAACAAGATTGCTCGATTCTTGGAAGGTCAGGGCCAGAAGGAAATGGCGCTCAAGGTTGCCACCGATCCCGAACACCGATTCGATCTCGCTTTGTCCCTTGGAGATCTGGAACAGGCTGTTACAATTGCTCGTGAGCAGGACACAGAGCATAAGTGGAAGACTGTCGGTGATGCTGCTCTCACAAACTGGGATGTCAAGCTCGCGCAGGAATGCTTCGTCAAGGCCAAGGACCTTGGTTCCCTTCTCCTCCTCTACAGCGCAACTTCGGATGCCGCTGGCCTCCGGGAACTCGCTTCCCTGGCCGAGAACGCCACCGCAAACAATGTGGCCTTCTCTGCGCTCTGGCAAATCGGTGATGTCCAGGCGTGTATCGACCTGCTCGTCAAGACCAACCGGCTCGCCGAGGCTGTTCTCTTCTCACAAACGTACAAGCCAAGCGCTACCGCTGGACTTGTCAAGCAATGGAAGGAGTCCCTGGAGAAGGAGAACAAGACCAAGGTTGCTAGACTCCTTGGCACGCCGCCTCAGGACGGTGAGGGAGATGCAGAGATGTTCCCCGAATGGGATGAGTACCTGCGGTTGGAGAAAGAAGGCGGAACGGTGGAGGACCTTTTGATCCAAGAAGACGAAGTAGAGGCGGATGATGCCGATGAGGAGATTGCAGCCGATGCTGAAGAAGATGACGAGGAAGAAGACGAAGACGAAGACGAGGAAGAGAGCGAGGAAAGTGAGGAGGAGAAGTAGGCGTCTGCATCAAGCCTTGTTTTGCTTGGCGGATCCGTTGTAGCTGCAGTTTGACTTTGGATGTGTGGCTGCTCCACGTAGCGTAGGTACGGTAACGGAAAATGATACAATGATATAGATGTTTCAAAGACATGGTATTCAAAGTTGTGATTCGATATATTGTAGCATGATGTGACGTTGTATCACGTCCCTTCGTTAAATCTATGCCTAGCCCACAGAAACGCCACCCATATGTACGTTTGTCTTGTCTTCGTGATATTCCAACATATACAAACATTTTACAAGGCCATACTGATATTCAATGGCAGCGTTGTCATTACTGTACGACAGCCTCGTTGGTCGCGCCCTGGTATGCCGAGTCGCGGAATCTCTCCTCACCACTAGCTGTGCTGTCGCTGCTGCTCGCTTCCTCCGACTCTTCGGAAGTGGTGTGAACTCGACTTCGTACGCGCGCATTCATCTCCTCACGTGTATCGTCCACCGTCTCCATCTCGCGCAGCCCCTTTCCCCGACCGAAGAAGTCTTCTGTCCTCAGTCCACGGACATCGCCCTGTGCCATCCCTTTACTGCTCCTCAGCGTACCGTCTGCCTTCTTTCTCCTGATGTACTCCCGCACTGGCCCCATGGCCGCATCTCTACACGCCTCCTTGATGTCCGAACCGCTCATGCCAGCCGAGACGCGGACTAGGTAGTTTAGATCAAAGTTCTGGTGGTCGATTTTGGTGCCGCGTAGGATCAGAGAGAAGATGTTGTGACGCTGTGTGGCTGAAGGGAGTGCGACGGGGAACTTCTTGGGCATGCGGCGGAGAATGGCTTCGTCGATATCTTGGATGCGGTTCGTGGCGCCGAGGATGCATATTCGCTGAGGGGTCGATGTGCCGGAGGAGGTGCTGGATGCGAGGCCGTCCCAGTGGGTCATGAATCTAGGGATTGTCAGTCCTACTTTCGTCGCAAGTGGAGTGGGATGGTATTGAGACGTACTCAGCTTTCACCATTCCGCTGGCCTCGTGTTCTCCGCTTCTTCTTTGTCCCAAGACTGCGTCAATCTCGTCGATGAAGACGATACTTGGTTGTAGCTTCCTCGCCAGACTGAAGACGGCGTTGACGAGTTTGTTGCTGTCGCCGTACCATTTCTCCGTTAACGTCGAGATGTGTAGGTTGATGAAGCAGGCACCGGATTCGTGTGCGAGGGCTTTTGCGAGCATAGTCTTTCCGCAGCCAGGAGGGCCATAGAGGAGGACACCGCTGGGTGCGCTGAGGAGCGAGGAAGAGTGCGAATAGAGGTGGGGCATGGTCAGAGGGTAGATGACAGATTCCTTAAGTTCCTCAATAATAGAGTCGAGGCCGCCAATGTCTGGAATGTGTCAGCGTTGTATTGCGACCCAGGCTTCCAGTAGGCCAAATCGCGCGCACTCATGCGCATAATCCCACAGCCCACGGCCCAAGCCCGAATGAGTTTGTGACGTACCCTCGAAGCTCACGGGAATCTCCTCGGGCGCAACCACCTCCATGGCAATCGTCTGCTCGTAGGTATTCAAATTGAGATCCTGTATCCTGGGCCGTCTGTGCCTCGATTCTCTATCTTCCTCATCTTCACTGTCGTATTCGCCGTAGCTTTTCCGCCGCTTGCTTGTAAGGATGGCGTCGAGTTTACGTGTGGCGGCTGAGGCTTTGGCGCGGGCCTCTTCTTTTTGTTGAGCTTCCGGGTCGAGGCGTGTGAGGAGGTTGCGAATTACGAAGTAGGCTATTAGTGGCTACGGGGATATGAGCATGTAGTCGGCAAGGCAGTGAGGGGCACAGTGGGTGTGGGGAGACTGTGGCGCGTTGGTGGATATAGACGTACTGCTGCAGCTGCCATGAGGATATCTGGGAGATAGCCCGTAAGGCTGCTCTTCTTATTCGCGCTCATGCTCGCTCGGATGCACTTTCACCAGTGCGCTCGTCTCTGGAAATGGCGTGGGTTTGTGCTCAAAGAGCGAATGTTGGGTCGGGAGGTTAATAGAGCGTGCGGTGTCGATACCAAAAGTAGGGACCGATGCAGGAACCGGGCCGCGGCTGCGTCGACCTCAAGCCCGGCGTCACACGAGCTCCGCTCCGCATCCTTGGATCGCATCACATCGCATGCCTTCAACTCCACCTTTCACTCGCACGCATAGTCACAATGGCCGCCGCATACAAGCCTACTGAAGCGATCGCGCTCATTCGACCAACATTCGTCTTACCGCGCATCCGGGCCTCAAATCGCAGAGCGCATATCGGGCGCGTCGCCTTCTCCACCACCCACCATGCACAAGCCACGCATACGTCGACGAGCAGTCCGACGCCAAAACCGCAAAGAAAGTCGATTTCTTTGACCGGCGACACCGGCCAAGTCCGATGGTCTGATCTGTCACCGGGCGAAAAGGCAGTGCGGACCACCCAGCAGAGCTTCAACCTTGTAGTGGTCCTGGTGGGCATAGTAGCAACTGTACAGCTTCCCCTCACCAAGTCTACTTTTGGAAGCGCAAGACTAACCACTCTACCAGGGCGGCGTGGGCTACTTCCTCTTCTCCGATGTCTTCAGTCCCTCCTCCAAGACTGCCTACTTCAACCGCGCAACGACGCTTATACGCCAGGACCCCCGATGTCAAAAGCTGCTGGGTCCAGGCGCCGAAATTGCTGCTTTTGGTGAAGGCTCTTGGTCGCGATGGGCGCGCAATCGCTACCTCAGCAGTACCGAAGAGACTGACAAGTGGGGCACTGAGCATCTGCGCTTCAGATTCTACGTCGAGGGGCCGTTGGGACAGGGCGTGGTGCATGTACATTTGACTAAGAGACCAAGTCAGACTGACTACGACTACGAGACGCTTGCCGTGGATGTAAAGGGTCATCAGAGGATTGATCTGGTTTCCGAAAACAAGAAGGACAAGGTTGCGCCCAAGATTTTTGGCGCGCGGTGGTGGTGAAGACAAATCTCACAGCCCTTCGCAATGGGCTCTGGTGGTCGAGTCACCATCCATTTCCCCAATTCAAACCTTTAAATCTCCGCTGCTGAACAGGCAGTTCGTGTCAGCCAACATGCAATTTGTTTTTCCATCCTCAAACGGGCCTTCCCGATGCGCACAGATATGAGAACAGAGCAGGGGCAAGGTAGAAACCTGTATGCTAGCGCACCACGGACTACACACGACTCTCTTCCCCTGCCCGGGCAAACTTGGTCAGCAAGATTGGGCCAAACCACTGCATTTTGTTTGTGCTTGCTCTAATTGTTTTGCTTCTAGATCCATCAAAATACGTCACACGAGGCTGACAAAAACCATGTGACCCCTCCAGCCTCAGCCATCAAATCCAACTTGACCACGTTCACATATGCACGCTACGACCTTGTGCATCGCCCCCCCTAAACCCTGACCCAGAAGCATCGTTTCTTGAGCCCAAACATCGACCACAATGCCCGTGTCCATATCCCCAGCCCAGCCCAAAGATGCAGTCGACATCGCCGCCCTACATGTCCAAGCATTCAGCTCCAACGCCCTCATGCGAGCCATCTACCCCACCCCTGCTATATGGGCAGCACTTCAGGGCTGCGTCGAAGAAAAAATCTTAGCTGACATGAAGGAGCCCAAAATTACAGTCCTAGTCGCCAAACACACGGACGAGGCTGAAGTGAGGGAAGAGCAAGGTAAGACTGTAGGCTATGCCGTGTGGTGCCATCCGATCAAGGCCGAAGAGCAGGACTGGAAACTACCAACTTGGAAGTTGCCGGAGGGCACTGATTGGAATGTGTTGAAGCCTTGGTTAGCGGCCGCTGGAAAGACTGTGGAGGAAGTCATTGGGCATACGCCGCATTATGGTAGGTGGTGTTACGTGCTTCTGCATGACCTGAGATGCGGACTAATTGGAGGTCTAGATCTTATGTGGCTCGCTGTATCACCTGATTATTCTCGAATGGGTATTGGTACCTTGCTACTGCGTTGGGGCATGGACTTGTGCGAGAAGGAAGGGGTGCCTGTGTACTTGGACAGTACCGTTGAAGCTGCGCAGACGTTTTATCAGAAAGCGGGCTTCATAGAGAGGGGTAGAATCAGGTTGGTAGTTAATGGGGACATGTACGAGGAGGTCGCTTTTGTGTACGAGCCCAAGCGATAGATGATACCAGGAATGATAGTCGCCGAATTGCTATGAAGATGAATGGTCCTACCCGCTTGTTTCCAGCCTACGTCCAGGTCTCGTGTGCTCAGGCCGCATTTCCAGACCGTTCAAAATGAGTGACCCAGTTCCCTTCTCGCAAGCATACTCACGATCTCTTTGGTTAGCATCGTCGTCATGGCCAGGTCAGGATCATGATCTGGATTGACCTCTGCGATGGACAGTCCAACGACATTGGTGCTAGCCATGAGTACTGTCAGGGCTTGCATCATCGTCTGAAATGCCACACCTGTAAAGTTTGGGACATTTGCCAGCGGGAATTCGCCCGGATCAATGGAGTCAACATCAAGATGGACCCAGATAGCCTCAACCTTGTTCTGCTCAAGGTGCTCCAATACTTCGCTTGCACGTCGTTCCGGATGATTTGCCACCGCTCTTGACGAGATAACTTTGAAGTGCTCGTCGTTCAGATATGCTAGGTGCTTCGGCTTGTTCCCCGGGTGGGGAAGGTTTGTGCCAAAGAAAACTGTGTTGTTACTGTCGCAGAGCTTCTCACGAGCGAGTACAGGGTCTCGTGTGCCTTCCGACTCGTAACTAATTGCCCCGGGCCGCGCCATGAGCTGCGTCATCGTCTGCAGTTGAAGTGTACGAAGTCAGTGTTTGGCTCACGTTCTTCTTGCGTCTGAAGTTTGCTCACCATGCTTGCAAAGTATCCCATCCAATCGTCGTCCAAAGGTGAGTGCAGATCAGTGTCCGCGTCGATATAGACAAGTCCCATAGTACAGTCGTGGTACTCTTTATTGACAGAGGAAAGGATGGCTGGCAGCATGCAGCACTCGCCCCCAAGAACTAGCTGGAATGCTCTGGGCTCCGCCTGGAAATTCACGGTCATCTTCCTTCGCACTCTGCGAAGGAGCTCCAGATTACCCGTCCTGTTGCGTATATCGCCTGGTATAAAGGGGCTGGGCTTGTAGGTCACCTCTCCGTCGAGCACGTCCGGTCCTGGGACCGGGCCATCGCTGTCGGGGAATTGGCTTGTGTCGATGTCAATAACGTTTACGCCCGCTTCGACCAGTCTGCGGTAGATGTCGACCGTTTTGAAAGCCGCAGCCGCCCTGGACTTCCCTGGTATGATGGAGCCGCAGTCGGCAGCCACATACGTTACGCATGTCTTTCGCGACTGGTCCATTATCGTGGTTTAGTGATGCAACTGGGATCGAAAAAGCGTGATTGGAGTGTTTAGATAAATGCACTGACTGGTCTTCACAGTAGGGGCTGGGAAGGATGAATCTACACTGACATGTTGCTCGTAGGGCGTGCATGCTGGAGTCTGAATACTGTGGCAGCGGCATGACCGCAACCAGCTCACCTCTTCTCACATTCCATTGTGATTTGATTCGTTTCTTCAATCAATGTGTCATTTAGGCCTTGGCGTAAGCTGGCGTGAGTCTGCTTCCAATGATGCCTTGCGACGCTGGTGCCACCTTGCAAAGGCGCGGTGACTGTATGCTACCAGCAAGCTTCTTACGTCGCCTCAGCAGGAGAGCGAGTGACGATGTGAATGTATCCCTGTAAGGTACAAAGGAAGTGTCATGGATGGCCGCGGCTGATGAACCCGACACGCGTCATGGTGGGAACTTGATGAGAGACAGCGGGTACTTGGTTGTGAAGATTGCAAACGAGGAGTATGCCAGCACATGAAGGTATATACCGGATGGTGCTGCTAGCTCAGACATGGGCTGAAGCCAATGTCGCATTCGCACAACCTCGCATTCGTCAAACGACGATAAATTTTCAGCCACCATGACTCGACGCAGCACCAAAGAACAGAGGAATTGAGTGCACGCTTATGCGCACGCCCCATGGGGATTGACATGTTGAGTCGGGGATGCGCGCCATGCTTTAGCAGCTGATGCAAAGATCCATATTTCAAAGATGGCACGGATAGAGCGGGCGTGGTCTAGTCAACCAATGGACCAATGGCAGTGATTCCTTGACACATTCGCAGCTCTCGCACGTTGGCGTTGCATCATGGCTCACACAGTCACGACGCGTTTGGGCTCCAGTTTGCAACTTTGCTTCCCGTTTCGGCGACCCCTTTGATCGCTTCTACCCGGCGGCCCTATGTTTCGGATCCACAGCCAGGTCGCGACCGAACGCAAATGTATTTTGGGTTGCGGTCCGAGGACCATTACGCACAGCAAAGTGCCGGACCTTCGTAGCCGGAGTACTCAAAGTCTCATGGCGCCTCCAACGTGGCGGTCGTCCTCATCTCTTCTTCTTCTTTTTCCATAGGCACAGCAACCGCACAGCGCTCCCCTCTCCTACGCAGCACCCGCCGCAATGGAGCCCTCCACCACCAACTCGTCGGAGCACACGCACGTCGACTCGCACGAGATGCAGCAGATGCCGCCCACGTACCCCTCGCCCTCGATGCAGCCCGAGCAAGCAACCGGCAAGACGCGGGTCAGGTTCAACAGCTCTGCCAACGTCGAAGTCCCTGCGCCCCTAGAACACGTTCAGAGCTACACTCGCATCAGCGAATCCGGGTCGAATGAAATCACCACCAACGAGCACACCACTGACGCCGAAGAGCTCTGGAATGCATACCACACTGGCCAACAAAGCCATAACGCGCCGCCGGTGAGCGAAGTGGATCCCGAGGGCGCCTACACTGTCACCGGCAACACCAACGGCGGCATCTTCTACCAGCTCCTGCAAGCCTACAAGCAACCGGTGCGCGGTTATACCGATACATCCTCCGAAGCCAGCGAGACATCACCCACACAGAGGTCGCGACCTGGGTCTTCTTCAGGACCCAGCACCCCATCGAAGAAGAAATGGTACAACGCAAACAAGCCAATGCAGTCAACAGAGACGCTGGCGACTCTCGTTGGCGCTTCAGCCAAGCTGGCAAACCCCAAGGATGACAAGAAAGACGCCGCCATGCGCCCGCGCCATCACAAGCGCAGTAGCAGTGGAGGAATCATTGCCAAGGTGTTGAAGCCAAAGGAAGACCAGGATGCCAAAATCAAGATACACGTTGCAAACATCCTTAAGCGACAGCAGTACATCATCCGCATGTGTCGCGCTCTCATGCTCTTTGGCGCACCCACACATCGCCTCGAAGAGTACCTTGCGACAACGGCCAAGGTCCTTGAGATCAACTCCCAATTCCTCTACATCCCCGGGTGTATGATCATCTCCTTCGATGACAGCATGACCCACACCGCTGAAGTCAAGATCGTTCGCACCGATCAAGGCGTCAACCTCGGCAAGCTGAAGGACACTCACGACATCTACAAGGAGGTTTTGCACGACGTCATCAGCTTGGACGAGGCTCTTGCCCGCTTGGACGAGGTCATCAACGCAAAGGATCGCCATCCACGTTGGCTGACTGTCCTCATGTACGGTCTTGCCAGTGCGGCAGTCTCTTGCTTCTTCAAGGCCCGCCCCATCGACATGCCCGTCATCTTCGTACTCGGCATTGTCCTCGGGCTGCTCCAGCTTGTCATCGCTCCGCTGTCCAAGACATACAGTACTGTCTTCGAAATCACTGCGACTATTCTCATGAGCTTCCTTGCGCGGGCGTTTGGTAGCATCAACAACGGGAACCTCTTCTGTTTCTCGGCTATTGCACAGAGCGCCATCGCTCTAATCCTTCCCGGATGGTTGGTGCTCAGCTCGGCCCTGGAGCTCCAGTCTCGTGCTATCGTACCGGGATCTATCCGCCTCGTTTTTGCCATCATCTACTCGCTCTTTCTCGGATACGGCATCACTGTCGGCACAGCCATCTATGGTGCGATAGACTCAAACGCCACCAACTCGACCCAGTGCCAGGATCCAATGAACCCATACTGGAATTTCCTCATGGTCCCACTCTACGTCTTCTTCACGACCTTCACGGTACAGGCCAAGTACAAGCAGATGCCGGCTATGATAACCATCGCGTTTGCTGGCTACATTGTCAACTTCTACGCTGGCCTGAAGTTTTCCTCATCTGCCCCCATCGCCTATACATTTGGCGCCTTCACTATCGGCGTGTTGGCAAACTTGTACAGCCGGTTACGTCATGGAGTCGCAGCTGCCGTCCTCCTACCCGCAGTATACGTCCAAGTTCCGGGCTCTCTTGCGTCGAGTGGCAGTATCAACTCTGCCCTACGAACAGCATCAGCTCTGATCAAGGGCGCAGAGACATCGATCGACGTCAGCAATCCTTCATCTCGCTACGAAAACATTACTGACGTAGCGCAGACCACCACCGACAGCCTCAATGCCATCGTCTTCAATGTCGCTGCGTCCATGATCCAGATTGCTATCGGCATCACTGTCGGGTTGTTCATGGCTGCCCTTCTGGTCTACCCCATGGGCAAACGACGCAGCGGTCTTTGGACACTCTAAAGTATACATTCTAATATTTTCTGTCATGCATAGCGATATGGCGTTATAGCGACCCAAAATGGGAGGAGTTTGGGACATCTACCTGCTAATGATCTATAGTACTCGAACACCAAGATGTTCAACTTCAATGACCCACATGGAGATGAGTGGTGTCGAGGTGAAATGTGAAGGTAAGCCCCATTGCAACACGAGCGACTCTATCCGAAGCAGTTGTCGACTCGCCTTGCGACAACCAGTTCCAAGCAGCAAGCCGTTGCGACCACTCCACATTGGCTTCCATGCGACATCCGGACCACGCAGCCCTCGCCGGATTTGGACTTCCACAGCGACCAACCTACGCAGCACTGGCCCTAGCAAAACATCCCAAAGAACACCATCATCCGCCTGGATCCACTGCAACCCATCGCCGGATTCAGACCTTGCGCCCAAGCCTCCCATCGACCAACTTCTGCTCCATGCACCTACCCCCTTCTACGGCACACGATATCCCACCCATAAATCCGTGCCCACTCGTCCTGTTTGTGATGCTTCGCTTATGATTGCGAAGCTCGCACAGGTTGATGGCACCATGCACTGCGTAAACGCCCTGATGTTGATACCCCATCCATAGCCATCTTTTGCTAACCGAAGCTATTTCGTGCAACGTGTCGTGACGTGTCCTATCCTTTCTTATGTGTTTTAGGAGGAACAGTACATACAACGGAAGAGCTGTTCCAAGAGCAAAGCGTTTAGATATAGCATCTAGACATGAAAATATACTCTTGTTTTCCAAGAACTTGCTTTCCACACCTGAACTATACTTGAATCTTCTGAAACAGCAACATGCTCGTCGTTGCATGCTAAGATGAGTGTCAAGCGTGGGCACGAAGTCACAAACTGTTTAGTCAGACTCTTGCTAGTTATTGAGGAGTACAAAGATGAATGAAGAGTGGCGAGGTGTATATCACATAAGCCAGTGTATCTAGCGCTGCCTCATAGCAGTGACGTAGCATGGAGGTCTGCGCTCAGTGACATCACCTCCGATCCAGGAACAGAGGAGGTATTAGGTAGGTGTACAAGCTTTGTAGTCATCGAGCGATCACGGCGACTTCGTTAACCGGAAGCACTGCCAACGAAGCATCACCAAGCTTCTTATACCAACACTTCGTATCTGCAGCCCTCCATCGAATCGCGATGAAGCCCCGGTGCACAGACTTCCCCCAAGACTTGCGCAACGTCGAAGCTGAGGTACAGTCACCTTCTAGAAGGCCCGTAGAAGACGCACTGACACATGTGAGACCATGTCCGTCGAGCTCTGGAAAGGGAACGGTCTTGGATCGGGTCCGAAGCGTGCAGGCTGTAATATGATTGGTGCTGGACGGCTTACGCGATACGGGTATGCAGTCAGCATTGTGGCAGTGGTGTCATCGGTGGTAGTTCGGACCCGCTTTGACTCAAGACTGTAGGTATCAAGATGGATAGTAAGAGGAGTCGTTAGTATGCGTAATGTCGCATAGAGCCAAGCATTTGCTTTTTGCTTATGTTGAGTAAAGGGCATCTCTGATAACCGGCCCTTGTCGAACGACAAGTTGGAGCGTATGCATGTTTCCAGACTGTTGCAGGTATCAAAGTACATGATGCTACTGGTACATTATCAAAAGCTCTTTCTAGACGATAGATGGGCAGATGTGCTGCAGGCGGCGATCATCTGTCTTCCCCGTCACTTGTTGAGCATTGCATGATAATGGCTATAAATCGTACGATAGATCTGAACGGTGGGGTCTGGTAAGGCAGCGGATCTAAAGCAGCGATAGTTGTCGTAGGGCTGTTAGTGTCCGCCAGGATCTACAAGCGCTGGACCCTGACGTGCGTTCTGCGCTACTACGCTTTGGGACCGTGATAGATGGCTCGAAAGTGAGAAGGTGAGTTGAACTGAGATAGTTGATCCAAATCCATAGCATTGGAACGGGGATGTGGTACAGAGGCCGTCTAATTGTACGTCGCACGTCCTATGGTATTTGGAATGAGCGAAACATGGCAAACCAACGTTGCTACTGGACAGCCTCATCTATCCTGTGTAGATAATGCAGAGTATTTGCATTAACATTCGACACTTCCGTCTAGCGTTGTGTATGTTTCTTGGTGCGCTGTGCCCCGATGCGGATGCAGTGAAGCGGGTTGTAACTCGCCTATGTCCGCCAACTCGCAGGTTGATCTCCTCTCCCGCTAATGACCGTTTAGCCGGTGAGATAGCCTCGAAGTTTCATGGGTTTAGGGTGTAAGCTGGGGATTCATGTTGCGGAGAACGAGGTGTGTCAGCAGCGGGGCAGAGGTTGTGTTGCCGGTTAGGGATGGCACACTAATGACTTGCAGCGCCGAGACCAAATCGGCGCAGGCTTTAACGAGTATGCTTGACGGCAGCGAATGTGGCGGGAGAAGGACCATCAGATAAGATACACGATTCGCTTGAGAATGTATCGGCTGGCAATCCTACTACGAGGTTAGACCAAATAGCCCCATGCGGACCAGGTGGATGCGTAAGACGGCGGGCGGTGGTTTTTCAGCCTACAGGCTCGTTTCGCGAAGGCAGCTCCAGACCGGCAGCCCGAGCCGGTGCGTCCCTCTTGCGAACGTCACTAGTGCGCCGCCACGCTGGAAGTGCAGAATTACTGGTTTCGGTAAGTAGTCCAGCGTAGTCACAGCAGAACGCCGTAGGGCTGTCTCTTTCCACGTGGGTCGTGCAATGTAAGAATCACACCATACCGGCCAGGTGAGACTCTCCACAGCCTGGCGCAAGGCATCGATAACGTTTCGAGCAGCAGACATAGGTATTCTGCATCCTGTAGCCTGCTCGGATGCATACGGTGAGTATATATCACCTTACGTCGCCGAGCATTTCCCTGATGTAAGATGGTGGTCGCTTGGGAATGTTCATGGACAAGGCTACTGATAAGTCATGGCAAGCGCGCTTACGTAGGTAGACTTTCAGCTCAGTTAGCGTTCCACGTGCTGCCACCATAGGGTTCTTTTTCGGCCACCCCCAGGCAGCTGTACCCGACGCTCACCGATCGCCTGCCGACCCTGCGAATACCTGCTTTCCTTCGAATGCACGACAAGACATGTGAAGGAGCCCATTTCACGCTCTGCTCTTGTGTATCAAGCTAGCGAAGCACACGATAGCCATTTCTTTTCCATAGTCGCACCTGAATGTCGTAGCGCATCCGAATGCGCTAAGGCCTGACATGGTTGTTCTCGCCAGAAGGGCGCAATACACATGGTAGCGGGTTATAGCGGTGGTAGCCAATATAGCCCCTGTGTCGGTATTCTCGCAGCGAGCGAGGAAGAGCGGTGACAGAATTGCATGCACTTTACATCGTTCCCAGTTAGCGCGAACGACACTTCACTACGACCGAACTTCGGCCCAAGGCTCGCAGTGGAAGCGAAGGCTCAACAGCCCAGCTGAACGTAGTTTTGGGTCAGTGCATCGCTCTGACGTCGTCATGTAGACAAGTTCCTTAGACTCAGCGCAATACAGAGCGTCTGCGTTGAGGTATGTGAGCCCCTCACTACGGATGTTGTTCGATTGATCGTTCAAGATACCTCATCACAGCCAAGGACTGCCGAGCTTCTGGAGATCCAGCCCTACCATGCATCTTGTGCGGGACGATAACCCTCAAATGGGGTGGTTTTTTTTGAAGACAAGACCAGGCACCTCTCTGACTGTCACCAAATGCGACAGCGAACTACTTTGATACCGTGGTTTTGGTTGGCTGCAAATTGTTGCAGCTAGTTCAGCATGCGTACTAATCTTTTTATCAAAGACTTGAAAGAGTAAAGCGCACGCCTCCATGCAGACCCCTGTCTCGCGGCCATGGCTGGTGTAACTCTGGGAACCACTCGAAGACGAGAATAACAACAACTGGTGTGCTTGCTGCACTGGTGGGCCGTGCTTCGGACGCGTGTGCCGGTAGCAGCTGTATGAGCATGCGATTCAAGCTATCTTCTGCACGTATTCCGCTGAAAGCCACATCTTCAGGGTCCACCATGGCCGTTGGGGTTGTTCGCGGGCATAATTGCATGGTCAGATATCCCTGCTCAAGCCACTGGCCGCCATCTCATGTGACTCGACGCGGTTCCGAAGGAGACATGCGCGACGTCCGCACAGTGTATAAGATCTCAGCTTGCCCACCGTTGTGTAAGCCATCTCCACCACACACGTATCTCAACTTGAACTGACACGACACTTGCACATTATCTCAGCAGCGGCTTCCAACACAAGTCTTAATCACAAGAAGAACAATCGCTCATTCCTATACACCATTCTGCCTTGCGCAAAGACTTACCAACTTTCTCGTCATCACTTATCTGCAATCGCAAATCACACACAATGGATTCTCACTCATTCGATTACTGGATGGCACAGGGAAACTACATTGCCCCAACACATCAGCCAGCCGTATTCGAAATGCCTCCCGATCTCTCCAAAGTTCCGAGTCTAAGCGGATCGCCTGTGAGTCTTATGTTGAACTCCCCTAGTTTACAAAACTGACTTGCTCAAGGTCTCATCTACATACGACCAATTTCCTGCACCTATTCACCAAGCTTACTACCCTCACATCGTCGATGAACCTATGCAGTTTGGATCATACCCCATGCCAATGACACCCTCCGATTTCGGATCCGATCACGACAGTCCATACTGCAGTCCTCGACCACTGCAGCACGCTGAATCTACGTTCGGGACTATGCCTACGCCCGCGCCAACCGAACGAACACACACTACCTCAGGGGTATGTATCCTATATCGCACAAACAAAACCTAAGGCTAACATTTGTACAGCGACGAAGGGCTCAAAATCGTGCCGCTCAACGTGCGTTTCGAGAGCGGAAAGAGAAGCACGCCCGAGATCTTGAAGCGCAGCTTGCGGTCTTGAACGAAAGATACACTAAGCTCGAAGTATCGCATACGGAGCTTAACGCGGCCTACGAAAAGCTTCGAAAGACCATCGAGCTTCTTACAC